CTCTAGCGCTTTCGGTTGCTTGGTCGGAAGGCCCCTAACCCGAAGGCAGTGCCTTCGACACCGCGTGCAGATCTCCGCAACCTTCAGGCTTTGCGGTTCAAAGTTACCTTTTTTTTCATCAAGGGTGTCTGAGATTCGTGTGTTCATGATGTTTAGGAATGTCGGTATTTGACAGTTGCGTGCCTTTGCTTTTGTTCTGGGATTCTTCCGGTTTTTTGGGGTTCTTCGTTTGGTTTCGCGCTTTTAGGGTTTAGGGTTTAGAGTTTGGGCGTCAGGGTTCTGGGGTTGCAGGTTGGGGTTTAGCGCTCTAGGGCTTCCAGGGCTTAGGGTGCAGGGCCGAGGGCCTCGTTCACCACCAGGCACCCATGCGTCGCGCGCGCCGTGTGGTTCAGGCTCAGAGTTCAACCCTGAACAATACTAAACCCTGAAGCCTGAATAATACGAAACCCTGAATGACACTAAACCCTTAAACTCTAAAAAGCCATGAAAGGCCTTAGAGTTCAGGGGTTTTGGGGTTTAGGTCCAGGGTTTAGGGGTTGAGGGCCTAGGCAGTAACCTGGCAGGAGTTTCGGCTTAGCCCTTGCCATTGCACAATTCCGAACGCGAAATCGCGACTGCAGCACGTGCGCAGAGTCTGCGGCTGGCGGCCACCGCTGACTGTAAAACTCTGAACCAAAAACCCCGAACACTGGAAGCCATGCAAAGCAACTGAGGCGCCAGCAACTCCCATGCTGGAAGATGTCAGCTCGTTGCCCGAGAAGTCCACCTCATCGTACGGAAGCCTCGAGCAGAGCTCCGGAGCTTCTTTGGGGTGTTGGCAAAGGACATGTTACAGACAGGGAGCTACTGTGCATGTAAGTCTCTCATCATCAAAAGTATAGCATCTAGATATCACTCGTATAAAAAAAACGCTTAGAAACACTTGAAACTGTCCTTTTAATGGGGCACCCAGAGCTTTGTGCTTGGGGGTTACGGACATCAGGACTTCTCCGAGATGCAGACACTTCATCCATCTTGGACCTCGGCACCAGCGGGCACCAAGCACGCGCCCTGAATCCCTAGCCCCCTACGGCCCTACACCCTGAACCCGCGCTTAGGATCGGACAGCATATCGCTCATGTCCTTGTCCTGCGTGCGAGCGGATAAAAGCATAGCTCGGCTAGAAAAGGCGGATGGCAACTGACTGCACGATCTGGGCTGCTGCGAGGCCACTTAATTTAAGTCATCATGGTCGCTTTACTACATAATTTGAGGGTGTTCATAGAAAAGAAACTGTATTTTTGTAGAAGTACATATCCATTTTACGGTCAACCCAGTGATCCTTCAGGCGTTCACGGCATCGGACCAGCTTTTTTGCATTCGCCTTGATGCAGAAGCTGAGGCACTGGTCCGTCGCTGCCACACTACAAACACCAACTGCAACGACCCTAAGGTAAGGCCCCCATACAGCAACAGTCTCCTTGAGACCTGACTTTCCTCACGACCACCGTTTTTACCACTATTTTTACCACATATATATATATATATATATATATATATATCTCTGCCAAGAGCTATGTGATTCAATAGCTTCAATAGCTTCACAGAAACTGAGCCTCCGGCTTGCAACACAACTGTCGTAACCCTTTGTGCCGTCTTGGGCTCCTCGTCCGTTATGGCCTCCAGTGTCTCCAGTGTCAACGGCTTGAGCGTCAAAGGAGGGTGCATGGTTTAGGATTTGGGTCACAGATTTTCTCAAAAGTCTAGGTTGCGGGCCAAAGGGTGGTCTGGCTGGCCATCCCACACAGGCCCTGGCGACTCGACACACAGCCACACACACAAGCTTCTTCATGAGGAGAACACCAGAGCCCCTGAGGCCCTCTCAGATCCAAAACGAGGCTCGCACTGCTGCTAGGCGCTGCCGTGGGCATTGCCGGCGGCGCTGCCGGTGGCGCTGCCGGTGGCGCTGCCCATGGCGCTGCCCATGGCGCTGCCCATGGCGCTGCCGATGGCGCTGCCGATGGCGCTGCCCATGGTGCTGCCGATGACACGCTTGGCGGCGCGCCTGCGGCCTTCGGCGACAGCAGCCTCCAGTATGTCAAGCATTACATTCCCCTCCCCTACCTTGAGGGTCATGGTTATGCGCAAGCATATTGAAAGGTTGAGACTTGTTTTTTATAGTTTAGGCTGTAAGCTGTAGGTGCTCATGGGCACCACTTTACTAACCCTGCCTAGAAACTACCCATGAACATCGACACATGCAGAGAGCACAACAAGTGTTGGAATTGAAATCGCATTCGATTAGATCAAGACGTTCCACCAAAACACCAGGATATTGTGCTGTGACATGAGCACTGTGGACAAATGTGGGTGTGGAAGCTCATCCAGGTATCTTTTCAAGTCATGTGACAGCTGGCGAGTGGATGAATCAGAGGAGTTGGAAAGGAGACAGGAAACAGAATGAAATGCATGAACGAGAATTTGTTACTACTTCGTGCCCACCGGGACTTTTTATACATCATCCAACATTGCGGATCATAAGGTGTTTTCATGAAAACCACATTTTGCCCCGACTCGCAGCTTTGGACTCGCAGCTTTGGACAAGAAGGCAATCCACAGACAGGCACCCATTAACCATCGATATCTCTGTGTAGACAAGAAATGGGTCTGCAAAACGGTGAAAGTTTGGTCGAGATAGCTGTTATGGGGGGGAGGAGATATGACAAGTCCTGCGACTACAAGATCGCTCTCCTTAAAGATGGAGAAAAAACAGCGATTTCTACTGGCACCCCATACTGACAAAATGCTGTCTGGGAGTATTCGACTGCCACTGCAAAAGCAACTTTAGGCAAAAAATAGTCTGCAGTACCAAGAGATGGAAGTCGAATTTGCCCTTTCTCCCAAAGAACAGCTGGAGCTGATGCGTAAATCATACAAATAGGAATGTACTGATGACGTAGGTCAACATACATACTCCTTTCAGTGATGAATGCAGTTTGGAGTTGGAGGTGCAAAGAAACAGGTTAAGGTGACATTGCTAAGGAAATAGGTGAGCATCTCCAGCTCAGCTCCGCACAAGGCTCCTACCCATGCTCCCGGCCTTTGGGCACGGAGATTTGGGGTTTAGGGTTTAGGGTCCAGGCTTTTAGGGCTTGGACAGGTTTTGGAGTTGAACCATGGAGACGGGTATGTCCGTTTAGGGCATCTCGTTGAAAAGGGTCCGTTTAAGATGATGGGTGGTTCTATGGAGTTGGGGATCCTGGACGTAGGGCTCTGGGTTCTCACCCTGCACACCCGGGGGTTTCCCAAAGCTAGGCGTCTCTCTCATACTACGTAAGCGCTATTGTATTTTGGGGTGTACAGGGCATCCCCTGAACGATTATGGGAAGTACCCATGTCGCTCGTCAACTGTGGTGCTGATGCTTCCGATTACTTTGCGATTGCACAGCCTTGCTTTGCCGATGTCCATGCCCAAGGGTTCCACTGTTCCACGCAAACAAAACATCCCCCAAACCTGAATCAGTGGGGGGCGCCATGAGCCTCAGAAGTGCTGAAAAGCTCTTGAAGAATGCAGACCCAAAACAGGCAGGTACCGGGGACGAGGACGGGGAAGGGGACGAGCGAGCACGACAACTACGACGACTGCTGGCATTATCACAAGAACCGAAGCCCTGTGTCCCGAACAAGGTTTGAGGAAACACCACACCCCTCAGGTTGCCGCTCATGATCCATCCGCGTTGAGAGGCACCTAGGCCCATTCACCCAAACCCCATGTCCCAGCCTCAATCTGAAACGAGCCTTAACCGCCTTAACCTTCAAACCACTATCCCCACCATTCTTCGAACCCCTTACCAAATTTGGTGTCTAATCCGAATAGCCCACGAAGTTGTAAACATCTTATCAACAGTGGTCCAGTGAACCCCAAGCCCTAAACAACAGGGTGGATTCCTAGAGGTGTGGGTTGGGGTTGAGGGAGCAGGTTTGGGGGATCGAATTGGAGGGGAGCCACTCTTGGAGTTGAGGGGATTTTGGGGGTTTGGGCATTGAGGTTGGGGATTGGTTTGGGGGTTCCGGGTGAACTCGCAGCTTCCCCACAGGATCGCTTAGTACAGGTGCCTTCTTTCGGAGCCAGAAACTGGGAACAGCAAGCTGCCTTAGGATTCAGGGTTTGGAGTTGAGGGTCACTGCAACATGCCCCCGGTAGGCCGCGCACGCGGCAGCGCCAGGTGCCCATGAGGTGCATGACAAGATGCTAAAAGTTCGGTGCGAGAGAGTAGCTGTTGAATCTGTTGAAGGTTTTCTTAACCCCTGAACCCTAAACCCCGCCCAAGCCCAAGCTGTCTTCGCATAAGGCTCGGGGCTTCAGGGTCCGGGTAGAAGTCAGATGTCCGGCCAGCTTCGCGACCCGAAGGGAATACATACCATTCTACAGCTGGTTAAGAAGGTAAGGCTTCCCATGAAGGGCTCCTCCTCTTTCCCTTGCGATAACTGGTGCTGATGCCTCATGCCTTCAACTGCATCTGTAAGCAAAGGCTGAGAGCGGCCCAGGCGGAGCGCGTGATGCAATGGAGAGAAGTTTGCCTTCACCTATTAAGGGCTTCGGGCTTAGGATTTAGTAGTCAGTAAAGCCAGTAGCTCGAGATTCGGAGGTATCACTTTGAAACACTGCAGCAAATAGAGTCCCGGAGTGGGCTTGGCATTCTTTGTTGTGATGTGCAGCTGCACCGTCTTTCGCAGATCACCTCTGCGAGAGTCTGAGCGTCACCACGACTGCCTATATTGAGCCCTGTGCCCGAGAGGGCGCCCAATAGACCGTCAGTAAGGACTCGACCTTAACAACCCCCCCGCCCCATGCAGTCTAAGGTATCTTCCCTTGATGAAGAGTATTGGGCTCCTCGAGGTCCTATGTACACAGAAACCGGCTCGTGAGTTCCTCAAGAGCCGGTTCCACACCTGGGGTTTAGGGCTTGACGGTTTAAGGTTCAGGGCTTAGGGTCTCGAGTCTGCTCCTTCTTGAAGCGTCACTGTGCAGGAAAGTCACGCTGATCCATCTTTGAGGGCGCCAATGGCCCTTGAACAGCTGAATGCACAGCCTGGCGCATCTGCAAGGCTTGGCGACCAATCTGAATCTCTCCTAAACCCTAAACCCGGAACCCCAAACCCCAACTCCCAAGCCTGAACTCGCAACGCCTAAACCCGAACCCCACACCCTAAGCCATGCTTTGCCAGCCTCCACCTGGAGCAGCAAGTGCCTTGCCTGTGGCGCTTCAAAATCTGAAACCCTGGAGACCCTCGACACATGCGGATATGAGGGGTACCTTATTGGGGTCCCTATTTTCCAGGGGATCCTTCTATTTGGAGATCTATGTTAGGGGTCCCTGACCATCGCAAACCCCTACATTCTAGGGACCCTAAACCCAAAACCTTGTTGGGGTTCAGGGCTCTTGGAGCTTCGCAAGCGGGATGCCAACCCAAAACGCCAAACCAGTTTCAGGAGGGGACTAGGGTCTGGGTCTGGGGTTATATGAGGCTTCTCTGACGCGCATTCAAAGGAGCCTTAAACAGTTTAAGACTTAGGGCGTAGGGTGCCGGGACCCAACCGGGCCATGGCCCCTGGCAGCCCTTTGTTTGGGGTCCCTGTTCTAACGGCCACCCCACATTCCTAGGTCCTACTGCAGCCCCCGAACCCCAAACCCTAAACCCTAAACCCTGAACCTGACAAGGGAACCATGATTTCCTACATAACCGGCCACCAGCCACGCCGCAGGCCTCCGTGGTGCCGTCATCCCGGAGCGCTCGCAGGACCGAGACCTGTAGCCCAGTGAGGGCTTTCGGTTTGGTTTAGGGTTGGACGCGGACAGATCGAGAAGTGATAGGGTTTAGGGTTTCGGGTTTCAAGCGCTTAGGATTGAAGGGTTCAGGGCATGGGGTCTGGGGTCTGGGGATTTAGGAACCAGGGATGTAATACATATCATATGCCTACTGAGGCACTGCTTACTGAGGCACTGCAACTGGTTTAAGTGCCATCCAGCTTGGGCTAAGAAGTGGGGTTGAGGCTTTAGGGTTCGGGGCTTGGGGCTTAGGCCTATCCCTCGTTCACAGGAGCAACCTTCCCTCAACCCTGACCAGCGGAAGCCTGTGCCCTGCATCTCAAGATCAGCTTGGGCTCAGGGCTTAGGGTTTACGGAGGCTTCGGGAAAGCCCTCTCAGCTTTATTGCCGCATAATATGTAAGATGTCTTATGATTCTTGCAGAGGCATTGGGGCTCCACCTCGAGGATCTGAGTCGCTGGCGGCCCTTTGGCTAAAATATTGGGCAGCTTGCCGATCGCCTCAAGCAAAGGCCGCAAACGGGGCGTGTCAGTTCAGAAGATTTCCCTGGTTGCGAGGGCCTAAAATTCCTCAAGCCTACCCAAACACCCCCCAAACCGTTAAACCTCCCCAAACTCCCCCAAACTCCCCCAACTCCCTTGCACCCCCTGAAACCCCTCTGAACACCCCTAAAACCCCCCAGACCCCCTGAAACCTCCCTGAAAGTTCCCTGAAGCCCGCATCTATCTGGAGAGTGGGCCCGGCACCCAAACCCGACCAGCGCGCCACGACGTAAATCAATGCCATCTTGTGGCTCAGCACCTCTGGGGGTCAGGGTGTCTAGGGTTTAGGGTTTAGGATTCAAGGTTTGAAATCAACCCCACCTAGAAGGCTGGGGTTTCAGCCATAGAGTTCTGTGGAAGTCCTATGCCGAGCTCCAGAGTCCTTTTGTCCCAGCTGGCGGGTGACTTTCTCCAGCTGACTCATGAGGCTCACTCGAGCTGCTGGTCCTGAATCATGCAGAAACTTCAGAGCAACAAGAGAGGTATCATGTTGAAATAGGGTCCCCATATAGGTCACTTTGAGAACTACCAGACATATCCAGCGAACCCAAGACCCCACCATAAACACTATTACCCAAACCCTAAACAACCTCTATATATAGTAGATATACATATATATATATATGTATATATGCATATATGTATATACACATGAAGTAAAAAAAGAAAAAAGGCAAGGCTGAGTTCTTGGCTTGAGGGCGGCCGCCAAGCTGAAACGCTTCTGCGCCCGACTGTTCGTCAGGTCGAACTCGAGGAGCTGCAACTTGCCATCCTCCGGTGCGGGGCTCGGGGTATATAATATTTAGGGTTAGGGCTCAGGGTTCAGGGTTCAGGGTTCAGGGTTTAGGGTTTAGGGTTTAGGGTTTAGGGTTTAGGGTTTAGGGTTTAGGGTTTAGGGTTTAGGGTTTAGGTTTCGGGTTTCGGGTTTAGGGGTATCAGGAGACTAGGGATACTAGGATATTAGGATAGTAGGATACTATATATTTTTGGAGTATCAGGACAATCGGGTGTTAAGGGCACCGGGGCAAGGCACCAGAAATGTTTTCATTGGAGGCTCGCGGGCAGTTACAAGTACGGTGATGGGTCCCGAATATACCTTAATAGGGAAAAACTTATCGTTGCCATGCTTACGACCCTGCTTATAAATAGGGTATTGGGTATTAGGATATTTAGGATACTAGGTTGTTCGGATATTTGTGTGTATTAGGATATTGGGGTACTAGGATTGTTCGGGCTTATAGCATCTTTTCAGTTGTGGGGTACATAGGGCATCAGGGTTTGAAATTGTGCCTTGCTGCCTTCCCATAATTTGGCACCCAAACCCCATTAGGGCTTAGAGGGTCTGGGGTTTAGGGGTCTAGGGGTCCAGGACTTTCAGGGTTCAGGGTTTAGGGCTTAAGGGGTCTGCCCCGATTTCCCTAACACCCTCCTCGGCGAAGTGGCCACAGACGCCCGGCGCCCTCGGCTCGTAGAAAGTGCTTTTGTAGGCTTAGGAACTATGAACTGGCTTAGGAACCATAAACTTCAAATGATGCTACCAGGCTAAGGCTGAGGATATATCGTAGGCAAACTAAAGGGAATTGGCTTAGTCTAAGTTCATAAGAGCAAACCCAGTTCTGGGGAGAGGCCTGAGTATACTAAGGGTTCAGGGCTTGTTTGGGGCATTTGTGTTCTTACTGCGGTTTTAAGGCTTTGGAGTTTAGAGTTTCGGGGCCTGCTTTACAGTTTACAGCGTTGACCTCTGCCCTGCTGCACGAGGGACAGGTCAATGACAGAAGCCCCCTCATCGGCGAAGCGCTCGCAGAGAATCAGACGTGCTTTCTGCCCATCGTTCACACACCTGGATTCGTTCAGGATTTGGGGGTCTGAGGTTTCCGATGATGCGATGAGGACGTCAGATCGGAAGCACTCTCTTCAAACCCACCAAAGCATCGGCGGCACCGGGCAGCTTTCGGTGCGGACTGCAGCTGGCCGAGGACATGCGGCTTGCTCCAGTCCTTGCCCGCGCAGGCGGCATACTGAGGAATGCGAGCCATCGCGCCCTCGGCTCCCACACCCTCAACCTTAGCCCTAAACCCACCCATACATGTCCTCGATTTCCCAGTCGCCATCATCATCTCTCTCAGACAGCTCGAAGGCCAAGTTGGCAGTCAGTTCCTCAAAGTAGACATTGGTTTCGGGTCTGCGACTAGAGACCATGCAACATGCAGCGCAAACAATACAGGTCCAACATTCCTTGCCAACAGGGATCTGTCAGCGACAGGGTTTCGGGCGAAGCGGTCATGTCGCCGTCGCCTGCAAGCAAAGCAAACCCAAAACCGATGGCTAAGGGAATATGACATAGGCAGGTACGCTACGAACCCGGCTCGAGGGAGTAGGGTTTAAGATCTAGCGCTCAGGGTTTAGGATCGGATCTAAGGCATCCTGAGTAAGACTTGAAGCGTATTCCTTCACGAGTCCAAGAACGTGCAAAGGACGCAAGCAGCCGTTGGCGTGTTGCCCTACGCTTCAACAGCGTGGCGCTAACAAAACGAAACTCACGAGAAGGAGCCGTATGAGGAAACCCCACCAGGGGCTGCAGCTCCGGGGGGGTGATGGGGTGTGGGAGGGGGAGAAGCCCCAAAGGCCCGTTCCAGAAAGGGCGTTGACGCCGTGCAGGGTTTGCGGTTTTGGGCTTGTAGAGTTGGAGGGCCTCGCGTTGGTGGTGGATCCTGGGCCCTCTCCCTAAACCTGCTGCCCAGGGAGCCCGGGCATTGGGCTCGCTGGGCTTTGGACCCTAGCCCGCAAGCTCTACATGCTAAACAGCCCTGATCTGGGCAACCCAACACCCTAGGCCTGAACCCAGCAGCCTAAACCCAACACCACAAACCCCCAGCAGGCACAACCCGAGGGCCTTGCTCTTCGCTCCCAGGGTCCATGCGAGCAGAGGCTCCCAAAGGGGCGAGGAGAGGGCTCGGGCCCCCCAGGCCTCCTAAAGGGGTGGACTTCGAGTTCTAGAGTTTGGGGTTTAAGAGTTTGGGGTTTAGGGCCTCGGGCCGCAAACCCTAACCCTAGATCCCAAGCCTCTGCAGCTACTACCGCAGTCCATGTCTGCAGGCTTTCGAGAAGCAGGCAAGACGTTGAAAAAGAGCGGACAAGGGTCGGTCGAGTTTGGAGGTTGGGGTTTCGGGTCTTGGATTTAGGCTGTGTTGGGGTCGATTGATAAACAAACCGTAGACCCTCAACCGAGCAGATTGGGGTGTGACTTCTTGGACCAAAATTCAAAATGTGGGTCGCTTTTGGGCTTTAGGGTTTCCTAAGCTGGGTTGCTGCCAAGGAACTGAAATCAAGTTACTATGGTTTCCTTACTATGCAATACTTTGCTTAACAGCCCGGTCAACCCTCCAACCACCCTTCAAATTTCGTCCGAAGGTCAAGACGCACCCTTTAAGGTTACATCTTTTCTATGTGTGTATGCGTATGTGTATATCAAGTGTATATATAAATGTATACATATAGAAGTGTGTATACATGTGTATATATATATATATATGTATACAAGTGTGTATACATATACATATATATATATATGTACTTATTTATCTATTTTTTATTTGCTTACTGATTTTCGTATTTATTTATTTACTGATTGATTTATTCTTTTATTCATGCCAGTATACATTTCTAGATAGACTTGTAAGTATGTGTGTGTATGGAAAAAATATATACATATATATATATATATGTATATATATATATGTGTGTGTGTGTGAGGTATGTATGTTATTTATGTGCATGAGGACCAAATTCGACCAAAACACAAGGGCGATGCTGTCCATCTGTTAAACTGTTAACTCACAAGTAACCAGAAAGCCGGCAATGACCCTTCCACGTTCAACACGCTGGCCTTGTGCACGGGGTGTTGGGGGGGCCACGTTTTCCCCAGCCCTAAATACCCCCTCTTCACACTGAATTGAATTAGGCATTTCGGCTAATGGCACAGTGTTAGGAATCCTCTTCCTGGTTGCTCTATGCCGTGGAGTGATAGATGGCAACGAGGGTGGCGATCGCATGACACAGGTGGAGGTCCCTGAGTTCTAAACCCTAAACCCTAAACCCTTAACCCTAAACCCCTAATCCGATATAAGTCGTGGAACCCTGGCTTAGAGAGTCGGCTGGAGGCACCGCCAAGTCCAGCGTGCTTTCCAGCTCATCCCAACGGGGGTCCTGTGAATCGGCAGTTTAGGTTTAAGGTTTATTTGGGATTTAGGGTTTAGGGTTGGGGTTTTGGGTTGGGGGTTGGTTGGGAGGTGGTTGGGGGGCTAGGGTAAACCCCTCTAGAGGATTCTCTAGTACCAGACATGGATTATAAGGGGCTGTTGTACATTCTCGCGCGGAAACGAGCCTTCTTCGCGGAAATTGTAATTAGCCGCTTTCGTGGCTACTTCCGGGCGCGCGGACGATGTTCGTATCATGTCAACATGAAAGTTAGCGTACAGGGTTCTACAGGTGAACCCTCTCGTGGCCCGGAATGGCGAAGCCTGAGCAACACCAAAGCTGCTGCCACGACAGGAAGTCAAGAGCAACCACAGAGCATGACATCAGAAAACGTTCGCGGAAAGTGTAAAGTCTTTCGCGGTATCTTTCGCCAGTCTTCACAGGCCACTGTAAGCGGTTATGAACGCTGTTTTGTTATATGAAACGGAAAGAATGGAGCTTTACCACGACTCAGGGTCCTGCCCAGGAGTGTAGGCAATTGAGGGGGAGGCCCAAACCCTATACACCCAGAAGGTCCTCAATGAGCTCGTTGAGTGCCCGCCGCACTGGACCCAGATGGGCCTCTGAGCCACACTTTGGGGTTTAGGGTTTTTGGGTTTTTCAGGGTTTGAGGGCAGGGCTCAATTAGGTGCATCTGGCAAGCGTTTCAGGGTTTGGGGGCGGTCAGGGCTTCGGGCTCGGGATTGAGGGATTAGAGTTGGGATTTTCGGGCTTACCCGAACACCCTCAACCCGAAACACTTTGCCCGTTTCCGCTCTTCGGCCAGGCAAACTGTCGGATCCCTCCCTTGCACTGGGAATCCTACCTGAAGCCTGGAGCCCAAAAACCCTGAGAGTCCCTGGGCCCGAAGCCCTGAAGCCCTCAAAACCCCCGCAAAATCGCAAGCCCCCGCAAGCAAGAACCCTTGCAACCCTACAAGCCCTGAAGCTCTAAATCCTGAAGACCCTAAGCTCCTGGATAGGTCCGGGGGAATGGAGAATGAAAAGGAGCTAAAGGATGTAAAGGATGTAAAGGATGTAAAGGATGTAAAGGATGTAAAGGATGTAAAGGATGTAAAGGATGCAAAGGATGCAAAGGATGTAAAGGATGTAAAGGATGTAAAGGATGCAAAGGATGCAAAGGATGTAAAGGATGTAAAGGATGTAAAGGATGTAAAGGATGTGTAAAGGATGTAAAGGATGTAAAGGATGCAAAGGATGTAAAGGATGTAAA